CTTAAAATTGACAGTTCTTTGATGTCTGTGGAGATGCCAAGTACAGCTATCTTGAATACAACATCATCTGACAACATTTATTTAAAACTGAAATGTCTGTATTACAAGGTAAAAGCAACTTTATTTATTTATTTTAAAAAGATTTTATTGGGGAATTGGGGAAGGGAAACAGCCAAGTTGTTGTTCTTCAATCTTAGTTGTGGAGGGCGCAGCTAGCTCAGCTCCAAGTCCAGTCACCATCTGGCTGCCCGTAGGCAGCTCATGGCTGCTCAGCTCAAAGTGCCGTGTTCCATCTTAGTTGCAGGTGGGCGTAGTACACCACCCCATGCGGGAGTCAAACCGGAAACCTTGTTGCTAAGAGCCCACACTCTAACCACTGAGCCATCCAGTCGCCAGGCGGCCGCTCAACTCAAGGTACCATGTTCAATTTTAGTTGCGGGTGGGGGTAGCCCACCATCCCATGTGGGACTCGAACTGGCAACCTTGTTGTTAGGAGCATGTGCTCTCACCAGCTGAGCCATCCTGCCACCTGTTGGCAGCTCAGAGGCAACTCAGCTTGGGCGCAGCTCACTGGCCCATGTGGCAATCGAACCGGCGACCTTGTTGCTCGCACTCTTAAAAACTGAGCCACTAGGCTGGCCCCTAAAAAGCTACTTTAGAACAATGTTTTTCTAAAAAATATTTAGTTGTTTTTCAATTTGTTAGGTCAATAAATCCTGTTGCCATTTTGCAGAAACAGAAACAGTGAAAACCAAATGGCTACCGGGTAAATTGACATCCCTATCCATGCTGAGTGACCTAAATTCCTACGGATCCTGATGCCTCTTGCTGACTTCGATTTCCCCAATGTTGTTAAGAATTTTATCAATAAAATATAACTATTTAAATAGTTATGTTAATCACTAGTTTACCCTAGGTCCAAACTCACTGTGACCCAGAAGATTATCACATCATTGACAACATTCAAGTATACACAGGTAGCATAGGCGTAACTTACATTTTTATGATTGACACATTTTAGGAGGACGAGTTCACGATAAGCTCTCTTGGCATGAGTTTGATTCTGAAAAGGCCGGCTTAGTTTCTTGACTGCAACGTTTATCCCAAGAACTGTATCAAAAGCAGCACTATAATTAAGAAATACAATAAGCAATCCGTTAAAATGGTCTTGGAAAATACAGCAGTGCAGAATGTACAGTCAATGTACTATCTTAACGAATAACAAACAAGGGAAAATCTTTCTGCAGGTTTGCACGCGAGGTACTTGTACATGCGAAGGCCCAAGTGAGCTGGCTAAGAGTGCAGGATGGACTGACTACTTTGATGAGCAGCTGCGGTTGGGACGGGTGCAGCAATCCACTGCATGTTGACTTCTCTTGTATTAGTTGAGATTATTATGTTCAGAACCAAGTAATTTAATATGGAGTATGTAAGACCGGTCAAGAAATGAAATCTTCAGTTTAGATATGCCAGCAAGTTAAAAAAAGGCCACTGGTTACCACAGAATAAAACAGAAGCATATTTTGGACTATCACAGTAGAAGAAACGGTTGAACTCATGGAAGAATATAATAAATCTAAGTTTTGATTGTGTTTTTCCCAGAAGAAAAAAATCTAAAAAGAAAACAGAAGCCAAAATCTCAGCTCAAGGTAAATGCCCCAAGATACACAATTCCTAATGTAATCAATTGTTATATACAAAATTCTACTAGAAACAGCACCTCATATTATCATAGTAAGAAAAGAATATTCTACAGCCTGTGCTTCCAGTATCTCAAGTTCCCAGGTGAAATTTATGGTTCATTGTCCTATTTTCTGAGTAGCCTGATTGTACATTTTGTACTAATTTCAAACTAGTACTAATAGTACCATTCATGCTATTATCTTTCGGCTACACATCAGGAGTTAAACGCCTAAAACCTAAAAACCTAAGCACCATTTAAAATATAGTTTCTATTTCTTTATCCTATTCAGTTTAAAACATTGTTTCCGCTTATTCACTTCTATGAATAATATTTTTTGCAAAACAACCCTAATTTAATTCAGCCTGCCTTTAAATTGAACGCTGTCCACTGTAGCATTTGGTTAAGAATGGTTAAAAACTTCATGTCACCTTGGAATTATTTTTTTCTTGAATTCAGTTCACATTACATGTACAGGTTTACACATACGCAAATGCACACACCCATATGCAAATGCACCATCATATAAATTGTAAAATGTTAACGAAAAAGCTATTTATGAAATCATTAATTAATGTATTTGTACACGTGTGTGTGTCTTTGTACCTATATTCTATTTCTTGGTCTCAGGAATTTGAAAACAGACCTGACTTTTTTGGTCTCAACAATCTGTTCAAAATGAGCCAAATGGACCAATTCTGAGCATCTGAGCATACATGCACTTCCCACTCCTAGTTCCCACTCCAGGAGCAACTACCTTTACTCCTGGTTTTACTTCTTATAATCACTTCTCAACTGCAAAAAATACACTTTTATCACTATTTCCTCATTTATCAACTTTAGAAATGATCTATTATGCCCTGTTATGAAAACTCAGGATTTAGTCACTCACTTGAAACTCCAACTCCTCCCAGTTTTTGTTCTTATGTTATTTTTAGCTTTTCCCTTGGTTACCTGTGTAACTTTAAATGTCTAAACTACTGTTATGTCAATTTCTGAAGATCCTCTTGACTCCTCAGTATGTAAAATGAGACTATTATATTCCATATCCTTTCTCTTCCAGCTCTCTATTCTCTTTCCTTCAAACTTCTGTCTTAAACAGTCAAGCTTGATAACACATCTAATTGTTCTCTATAGTTAAGTTTTCTGTGTTTCTTATTTAGGATGTGACTAAACGTTACAAGTCGAGACACAGAGTGTACATGTGTTGTGCGCATGTGAACACTGCTGACTGCAGAGCTAGTATTATATTTCATTTTCTAAAGATCACAACTCTGGCTGCCATGCCTAGGAGAGTGAGACTATTGCCAGCATCAAGGTCAAATGGATTCTTTTGTTACATTCCATCAACTGCTCAAGCATCATGTCCTTTTAAAATTAGTTTTACACTTGGAGCATGCCTTTTTCTAGCTTTTCCACTATAAATTGCTAATGAACATTTTTTTTCTTTATTAAAAGAAGGAAAATATACCTGTTTTAAGGCTATCACCAGTACTTCCTCCCTTCTTACTCATATTATCTATTGTTTGGAATCAATTCCATTCTTTTTGAAGTTTCTTTCAAGGCCTGCTGCACAGTGATTGCCCTGGGACTTCTCACCGACTTCCACTGTTCTGTGTGCCATACATGCTGGTATTCTCTTTGTTGGAGTACATCCTCAAGGAATTTCCTCAAAACGCATGGGAGATAAATGATCTTACTCTGCCCTCTCCCTTGACTGACAGTTTGTCTTCTAAGTCCAGAATCAAGTTTTTCTCGGAACTCCACTGATTTTCCATGTTGCGTGTTGTTGCTGATAAGGCTTATGTCTGTCTGACAGTCATCCCGTTGCTTCCTCTTTTGTTCCTCTGCTCAATGATTTATCAAAGAGCATGTTTTGTCAGCATCCCCAATGTGCCCCACACCTCCTACTAATCACTGTCCTTCCTGTCCTCCTGCTTCTGACTTTTCACTTCCTTGCTTTTACCAGCTAAACATGTATCTTTAAGCCCACCTGCCATAGTTTATTTTTGCCTAGTTTTTGAAATCATCTGTACCAAACTTCTTTCGCTCAAACTTATATTTGTGAGATTTATCCAGTGTTGCTTTACGTAGCTATAATTCTTTCCGTGTCACTGCTGTAATATTCCTTTGCATGACTCTATGACATAACCTTGATATTCTTCGGTTGTTTTCAGCTTGCAAGCAATTATAAAAAGCATGGTCATAAACATTCTCATACATAACTACATTGTATTCATTTATATGCACGCATTTCTGATGAGTAGATAGATGGCTAAGAGTAGGATTGCATATATTTTATTTTAGAAGATTATGGAAAACTATTTTCCAAAGTGGTTCACTCTACTAATTTCTAGGCTTTAGATTTTTTTTTTTTTAGTTATCGATCCTGTGTCTTGCATGGAGGCTAAACACACTCTCGTTTTAACAAAAGGCAGGTGGGGCTAATCTAATCACAAGAGCCCTTTAGATGCAGAGTTTGATCTGGTTGGTGGGAAGATGGGACAGTCAGAGATTTGAATCCTGAGAAGGGCTAGACATGGCATTGCTGCGTTTAAGATGGAGGGTCAAGTAAGGAGCAGTGTGGGAGCCTCTAGGAGCACAGTGGCTCACAGAGAGCAAGGGAATGGGGACCTCAGACCTACTGCTTAAGAAACTGGTTCTGTCAACAACTTGAAAGCATCTGGTAGCAGCTTCTTCCCCAGAGTCTCCAGGTAAGAGCCCAATCCAGCCAGCATCCTGATCTTAGCCTGTGATGCTGAGCAGAGGACCTGGACGAGCCCACCCAGATTTCTGACCTATTGAACTATGAGATTATAAATGGGTGTTGTCTTAAACCACTAAATTTGTGGTCATTTGTGATGCAGCAATAGAAAACTAACCCTCTCTTTTGTAGTTTTCTACCTTTTTGACTTGTCAGGCTTCATCCTGGGTATTTTATTCTAAATTATCTTTCAGGTCACTATTTCTCTCTTCGGTTATATCTAATATACTGTTGAGCCCATCTATTAACATCATAATTTTATTACTATATATTACAGTTTTAGAATTTCTATTTAGTTTTTTTAAGTTTTCATTTTTCCACCAAAATTTTTTATCTTGCCTTTTACCATCCTGAACATAAAACATCATAGTTATTCTAAAGTTTGGAACCAGTAATGCCAATATCCTGTGGATCGTTTTTTTTCCTTTATTGTTTGTGCTGGATTTTGTGTTGTCTAATCTCCTTGCGTGACTAGTTATTTATTATTTATTTTTTGTTCACCATCTTTCGGGTCTTAACACGTGCGCTCGCGCTCCACCTCCCCAGCGCGGCGGGCAAGACCGGCTGGTGGTGCGCCCTCGGGAGACAGGAGAGGCCTCGGGATCCCACCTCGGCCGGGGAGCGGCGCCAGCCTTCACCTTCATTGCGCCACGGCAGCTTTCGCGCGAGCCCGACTCGCGCACAGACTAGTTATTTTTTATTGTGTGCTGGTGCTCGCACTTATAAAAATGCTTGCCATCTAGAAATAATTGATATCCAATCCAGTATGATGTTATCTCCCTCCAGAGAGCATTTACCGGTACATTTACTTCTGCTGGGTACCTGGGGGCACTAGCAATTTGAATTCGCCTCAAGTTCAGCAAACCAGATGATTTGAAGCTGAATGGCAATGCCTACAAGGGCCTCTTTCCCTCTGGTTCATTCTTACTTCTAAGATGCAGCCCTTTACCAGTCCCAATTCAAAGCAAAGGAAGTTCACTAGGCCCCACTGGAGGGCCCTGGACTCAAATCCTCTCGTAGTCCCACCAGGCAGTCCAAAGTACTACTCAATCTCTCAGTCGCCCACTTCAGAATTTTCAAAGGCCCTCAAGGGAAAGACAGCCCCAAATCCTGGGCTCCCCTCACTAGGCTTCCAACTTGCCATGGATCCTGGCCTAGTAATTCTTCACTCACCTACTTGCTCTCCAGGGGCAAATGCTGAACGTGGGGGTGAGGATGGGAATGGGAATGTGCTTCATAGACACACTTTTGATGAACATCCACATTTCTAGCCATCCATTTCATATTCATTTTCCATATCTGTCACTTCCACACCCACAGCCTCTCGGGGGTTCTACTATAGGTAAGTTCGCTTCCTTGTTGCAAGTGTCTCATCCATTTATGCTCACTTCCTCTGCTCTGTTTTACCTGCATCAACTTTCCAGTTACTTTTTATATTTCAGAAACTTGTTAAAAGCTCGTAGCCACTGACTACTGGTCCTCTCCCTATTCTCTTGGTTTAAGTGTGTGATCCACCATCTTAAATCAGAAGTTCCAAAAGTACTCATTTTAGAGATGACACTATTAAGGCCCATAAGGACACATGATTTGGCCAAGGTCACAAAGAACCGCTGCTGTGAGGATCAGAGCTGGATTTAGGCTCAAGTCTCCTGAATCACAGCCTTCATGTGCCTTATACCATA